GTTCAAAGCATAGTTTCAGGCGCTGTTCCCAGTCAGTCTAGTCCTCCTCCTCATCCTCGTACTCCCCCTCATCCCTCTCCTCATCCTCGTTCTCATCCTGGTGCTGCATTTAGTCCTGTCCGCAACCGCCAACGGCCTTTGCAGTGGATCGCTGGATAGTTGGTTGCTGCCTGGATAGATTGGGGTTGCGGGATGGTGGGGTTTACGGGGAGTTTTTGGGGGTTTTGGGGGCTTGGGGGCTTGGTTTGGTGGACTCGAGCCTGTTGACAGTTCCAATCCTCAGTGCATTTTCGTATGATTGCCCCGGAAAATCCCCCCGCTCGCTCCGAATTGCTCCTCGGAGTTTTCCGCTTTGTGGCCGGTACATCCTTTATCCTTTATTTCACGCAAATAAAATACAAAAATTGATTCCGCTCTCAAAGGAGAGCCGGTTGCCATGGCTTCGCCGGGGATCCCAACGCCTTAAAGCAAATCCTTTACTGTGGCAGCTTTGCCAGCACTTGACAAATTCTCGCCGGATGGGAACTGCAAAAAGTGTGCTCCACGAAATCAGGAAAATGCCTGAAAGTAAGCTTAGAAGAATCTTCATATAAACTCTATTTATTTGAATAAAATTACTGCTTAGAATGTTTTTTGTTCTACCAAATAGTAGAACAAGTCCAAAATAAAATGATGAATGCAATTATATTCACTTTGAAATGCTTTATTACTTAGTTTTTAAGGAAGAAGTATATTTTTAATATTTGTTATATTTAAAAAACTAATATACATAGTTTGAAAGAAACAGATGCATAATATAATATACATATTAATTATTACAAATAAAAATTGCAAAAATATAGTATTTAAGGGGATACCTTTATTTAAATCCATTTCATAAAACGGATTTGGTAACTCTAAAAACTGTGGGATCTTATAAGAAGAACAAAATGAAGTTTAATTTGTGTGTGATATTCATACACATGAATAAATGATTTTATTATAAGTACGTTCCTTAAAAACTACAATGTAGTCAACTCTCACAAAAAACTTCTTGTAATTGAGTAACTTTCTTTAACCCGCATCCGTCCCTTAAAATCTGTAACATATTAGCTCCTATGTATCAATTTGATACAGGTTTAAAAACATGCTTAAATTAAGTGAAATTAAAAAAGAAACCAATTTTTTATATATTTATTATGAACGTTTGTTTATTTTGAACAAAAAATGCTTTACATGAATTTTTTAAAGACAAAACTTGAGCCAAAATCACAAATCCATATAAGAATCCATTTCGCCTAAGTCTGAATCTTAAGTTAAAGTTTGTATCAAATTGATACAAAGAACGGATGCGGGTTAATAATTATTTTTTTGAGTACACTGTGTTGATTGTAGGGCTTCCAGTTAAGTCAAAACTTGCGGATTGAGGAGACAAGGAAGCAGAACTTAACTGGCGTGTAAATATTTTGCTTGGGCGATTCCCTGGTCATCATAAAAATTTAAGGACCCTTGTGAAGTGCTGCGGACACTTTTGACAGGTAGTCCAAAGGGGGAGGAAAGGTAAAGGGGGCGTGGCACTTCATTTAACGCCACTTAGAAGCGAATTCACTCCTGTTCGGTGTCCCAGTGGTGAGCTCGCAAAAAATGAAGTGGAGCAGGCCAATGCTTTCGGTCTACATCTAGAAGAACGCTTCCTCCGTATAGCTTTGCATCGACAGTTCAGGTTAGCGAGACCCATCAAACTCTGGAGACGCCTCTGCAGATGTCGTTGCCAATAAAGCCTATAAGGATTGAAGAAATATCTGAAGTTATCCAGTCCTTACCGAAAAATAAGGCTCCAGGAATTGATAGAATTTGCAACGTAACGTTGAAGGCCTTGCCCATAAAAGCGATTCTATTTATAGCTTTAATATTTAATGCTATTATTAGGACTCAAGTGTTCCCAAAGCAATGGAAATTAGCAGCAATTCAGATGATCCACAAGCCAGGTAAGCCAGAGGCTGATCCTGAGTCTTACCGTCCGATAAGCCTCTTATCGTCCCTGTCCAAGTTGTGGGAGAGACTCATTGCCAATCGAATAGCAGTTATCATGAATCGAGACAATATCTTGCCAGACCACCAATTTGGTTTTCGAAGAGGACACGGCACTGTGGAACAAGTGCATAGATTGGTGAAACATATTTTGCAGGCCTTTGATGACAAAGAGTATTCCAACGCAGTTTTCATTGATATGCAGCAAGCCTTCGATAAGGTGTGGCATGTTGGACTTTTGCTTAAAATCAAAAACCTCCTACCTGCCCCCTACTATGGTCTTCTGAGATCCTACCTAGAAGAACGGGAGTTCAAGGTCAGAGTTAGGGACAGATACTCTGATAACTATAGAATGAGAGCAGGAGTACCTCAGGGCAGTGTGCTTGGGCCGCTGCTTTACTCTTTATATACAGTGGATATACCAAGCCCAAACAGACATCACATGATAGATCCTTCCAAAGCTTTGATTGCTACATATGCAGATGACATTGCAGTCATCTACAATTCCAGATGTCGGAGGGAAGCAGCAAATGGAATACAAGAATACCTTAAGGATCTTTCTGCTTGGTGTAAACGTTGGAATATGAGAATCAATCCGCAAAAAACTACGAACCCCTGCTTTACACTGAAGAGACTTGTATCTAACACCCCTGAAATCCAGCTAGAGGGAGTCAGTTTGGAACAGCCGTCGCAAGCAAAATATCTTGGTATCACACTGGATAAGCGCCTTACGTTCGGACCACATCTGAAAGCAACAGTCAAAAAATGTAACCAAAGGATTCAGCAACTGCGTTGGCTTACACACAGAAGGAGCACTTTGCCGCTGAGATGCAAGAGGGCAGTATATGCATTCTGTATCCTGCCAATCTGGCTTTATGGTATTCAAATTTGGGGGATCGCAGCCAAATCGAACTACAAAAGGTTACAAGTGTTGCAGAATCGGTTTCTACGTACCATTACTGACTGTCCCTGGTATGTGCGTGGCACGACACTTCACAGAGACCTAAATCTACACACTGTGGAAGAACAGATTGGGAGACACACAAGCCGATACCGAGATAGATTAGGAAGACACCGCAGCTTACTGGCTAGGAATCTACTCCCAGCGAGACCTTTGAGGCGTCTCAAAAGGCAAGGCTTTGCCAAGACGATAAGGAATCAATAAGAAAATACTATATATAATCCTCTTCTTAATGCTGAGGTTTGGTTTACTTTTCTCATTGGTGACACCTGTGTTGTTAAGTACTTTAATTTGCTGTACAGATTCTGCACTAAATAAATAAATAAAGAAAAAAAAAAAAAAAAAAAAAACTCCATCGTGCACATTAAATTCATAATTGCATAGATTTAGCCGCCATTAAAAATGCAAAATGCGTCTCGTGCCGCAGATGCGGCAGATGGAAAGCGTTGCGTTGAAAAAGGGGAGGAAAAGTCGCTGGTGGAAAATTGTGGTGATGGGGATGGGGATGGGGATGGTAACCACCACTCGTAACTTCATTGGTCGCATTAGCAAAGTTTCGTCGCCTTATTTATATGCAAACTGGACTCGAAACTCGAAAAATGGGGAGGAGGGCCAAGCTGCCTGCCACAATGCAACTAATTGCCACAGAGCTGAAATCCTGCGACGGGGACATATTCAAACTCGTTTTTAATGCGACCAGAGTCTAGTGTTGATTAAATACTCGCCAACTGTGCTATCGAGGGTCCACTTTGATATAGGGGCTTGTGGCCAGTGATATCGGGGCTGTCATTTTTGCCACTCCATCCATTACTCCATTTTTTTTTTGTATTTTGTGAGCCACTTTAGACCCACTTGTTGTCGCACAACCAGACAAACATGAAGCGAGCAGCCAGCCGTTTTGCATAGAGTGGGCAATAAAACTAAACAAAACACAGAGCACAGAACACGCAACGCAACTGTTTCGAGTTTAGTGCGCCTTATTGCGCCTGGGGGCATGCAACAATATTTGTCGTGCAGTTGATAAAACTGTCCTTAACTGTCCTGCTCGATGGTGGCTCAGATTCACCACCCCACCCTTTCCTCTCTACCCTCCTCATTGCCAGGACTAAAAAAGGACACTGGCAGAGCATTGCCGCATTGTCGTTTTGTCTGATGAGTTTTTAAGTACAGACAATTACAAACGACAACCGAGGAGCAACAAAATGCAACAAATGCAATCAGCCAGCCGCATTTCAGAGTCGCTTACTCGCTTACTTGGCCAAGTCAAGACCACGCCATGCCACGCCCCCTGCCCTTAGTCCTTCGTCCTGCCATTGACGCCCTCCCCCCTTTTTGAATCGCTTTTCTGGAAGATAGTCACTTAGATAGTCGGGGAACTGCGTTTGCGGTTATCACATTCTGCTGGGCAGTTTAGCTGCGTAATTGAATTAAATTTCGTTTTAAAATGTAAAAGGCTTTTGATTTGGTTTGCAGTCCTTGACGTCGTTTGTACTCCATAAAGTAATTAACATTTGTTTCAATTGCTGTTCGAGTGGGAAGAACCCACAGAATGGAAATAAATCAAGAACGAAGTTGGCGAGAAGTTGAAAGTTGCTTATTTTTCAAGGATAAAAGCTTTGAGAAAAAATAAATAAAATAAACTAAAGAGGGTACTTGGAGGTTTGATTACATTTAAAATCATTATGGAAAAAAATCTTTGTCGTTGTGTTGTCAATAAATATTCCAGGTTTTATTTGGTTTTATGATGACCTTTTATTTTAAGGATTTTAATTTCTTCTGTTGATTCAATGTGTTCTCGTCTTCTTCTTTTTTTTGAATAATTACGTTCGTTCGACAATCGAGTTCACAATGTAATCGATATCGGTTGCCTTATCTATGCTTAATATAAAGTACACACTAAAATACAACGCATAACAGAATGTTCATACTTTATGCTATTTAGTATAAATTCACCTATGTTTACAATATTCACACATATTTACATTTAGGACATTTTTACTTAAGCACTTTACCAAATCAGTACAAAATTTAAAGTGATCATAGTAAATAACGTTACAAAAAAAAAAAAAAAAAAATTATTTCGGCTGTCAGAGAAGTAGTTACTTGATGTTCGGAAAGAAGATGAAATTTCTCCCCATTATCGATAACGTACGTTGGTACCGTGGGATGTCGAATGTGCAGACGAAAGCCTGCGAAGGATTGCTCCACGCCCTTCGCGATGACATGGAACAGGGATCTGCGTACCGAGTTCGTCGTTGTATTTCCCAGTTGGGTCTTTATCCCTTAGTGGGCACATCGCAGATTAAGATTCTTATGAGTATGAGTCGGGGAAGTGACTTGGCTTTCCTCTGGTTTCTGTGGGAATTGGCCTATAAAAACCCAGAAAAGTGCCGAAATTCTTTCGAGGTCACGGAACCGGGATTCTATACGGTCAACGAACAACTTTTGCTTTCGGGAATTGCCCATCTGGATATGCCGGCAACCTTGAGAGCTTTAGATGAACTACTTCCACCTGGAACTCAGTCAGAAAAGAAAAGGAACTCCCCTTCTCAAAGTTGTACAAAGAAAAGATGTTTCAAGCCCAATCAATCCAGTGGTAAGGATAACATCCTGCCATATTTTGAACGCCTAGTGCGGCCTCGTCCATTTATTGCAAATCAAATGTATCGACCGCCTGAGAGCAAACTTCGTTTTCCGGAATTCTCGAAGTATAGGGATCACTTGCACCCAATCCCCAATGAAAATTCCCGTTGGTTTGCCAGTTATGAGTTCTGTCCTGTAAAGAGGATAATAACAAAGTTGCTTTCAAAGCAACTCGATAGTCTGTTATTGGAACCAAAGAAGAATGATACAAAAGAAAATGATATTCTGTGTAAAACGCATCGCTTTCGGAATAAGACTGAGTTTATTGAACAGCAAGAAATGAAATACTGGGCTATTCAGCACTGTTTGGATCTTATGGATGTTCCTGGAGGTGCGGAGAAAGTTCGAAGAAAACGTATTCTAGAGGATATAGAATGTGACGTCGAACGAGCAGCCAACAAAACTCGTAGAGCAATGCGGAAACCCTTTAGCGAAGTTAAAAACAATTTAAGTAATAAAAAGGTTTCCCCAGCACGTCAGAGTAAAAGAATTAAGGATGATCTATGTAGGGTATTGGGTCCGGAAGTTGATAGTACTAGGGTTCATTTACATTCCCCACCGAAAGATGATTTAACACATGTGATTCTAATGCAAAGTAATAAATCCAACCGGTGCGGTGCCGGCGATTGTATTGTCATGGATGTTAATTGCTCCTTAGAAGATAAAAAGGACATAATTATAAAACATAAGCGTAAAAGGAGTAGGACAGCTCAAAGAAGTAGTTCCCGAAGTAGAAAATCCATCAAAAAAAAGTTAACACCAAAGGAACCAAGTATCCATGAGGAAGAAATTCATTTACGTCCTTCCACCTTCCAGAATCTTGCTGATCTGATTCCCGTTTGCAGTCGCACTTTGCGTTTAAAAAGTCCTTCAACGAAGCATCCTGATTTGGAATCATTTGCAACTAGGAAACTCAATGGCATCCAGTTTGACTACCAAAAGATTTATGATGTTCCCACAGTTCCTATTCAGCCATTACCTTGGGAGGATGATAACTTAGATCTCAAAGACAAGCAATCCTTAATCAAGAATCTTTGCATTCAGGCTCTTGAAAATGGAAAATCCAATTCCATAAAAGACTTTCAGCTGCATAAAAATCTCCCACCTATTCTAAAAACAGCTGCCAATTGTGCCATTGATATTTTCCGCTCAAAAATCGAAGAAGTGAATGAAATACCACCCGAAAAGATTCAAGATCTCATCGATCCGAATGACACCGAACAGATTGAGAATCTTTTGAAAGAGGCTTTCCGAATTCTTAGAAAAAATCCGAACTATGTGCTGGCCTCCTTATCGAATTCACACAAGTTGCCCGTTTTACTCGATTGGGTGGCCAATCGTTATGGCAAAACATTCAATCGAAAGGAAATGCAAATTCTTGCTAACACTTCTTTTCGAACCTACGAAACGATTTATCAGAAAGAAAATCAGGGAAAGGAGGAGTTACTGAAAGTCAAAGGAAATGTAGCTTTTTTGGGTTCCAGCACATATGCCCACTATAAAAAGTTCATGTGCGAGGCGAGAAGAATAAAAACCAAATACCACAAAAAGCTAAATGATTCGGCTTTGGAGCAGGCACGTAAAACTTGGTTAGCATTGCGAGGATATTCCCATCTCGGTGGACCAATCAAGGACACTTTCTTCGCTTACATGCCAGCCAAACAGCAAGATCTTAAGCGTCATCGCATTTGGAAGTCCTTCGAATATCGGGATATGGTTCAACTGCGTTTGAGAAAGCTTCCATAGGGAGAAACTTGAGCTGGTGGTTCCAAATGACAGATCGAAAAACATAAGAAAAAGATGATTTTTGTTCTGTCATTTGGAATCACTAAAAATGTGGATAATTAATTATACGTAATTTCATTTAATTTTGTTAATGTTTGTTAAGTTAAAAAATATATAAAAGGTGTTATTTCGTGTACTGTAATTTATTTTTATTTAAGGCTTCAGAATTTTATAGAAATTTTAAATTTTATTTCTGCTTGCATACACATCTTCTATCCTAAAAATATCTATTAATGATAATCGAACTTATTTGCCATCACTGCTAGTTGCAAACAGCAGATCGAAAAACATTATTTTTGCTCTGCCATTTCCCAGTTCCCTTGAAAGTGGGTCACCCACTCCGATTTACATTTATCTGCTGATCTGCTTAGTGGCTGGTGGTGGCTCGCTTTTCCGCATTTCCCCGTGAAACATTCAGCGGGATTTGTCATTCGCCATTTGTGGGCGACTACTTATGTAAACCAGACTATGTATAATACCAATTAAAAATGCTGATGCCCAACTAAAACGCCCCGTCGGCAAATGAATAGCAAACACGGCCGAAAAACAGAGGCTTAGTTTTAGATTTTCAGCTATCGCTCGGTCGCCAGATTGCCGATGTGCCGATGCGCCATCCGCTGTTGTTGCTCATTAATTAAAAATGGGGCGGGAAAATGGGAGGGCCCTCGAATGTGGTAAAGAAAGGGGGGAAAAGGGAGAGGAAAAGGGGTAGGAAAACCCATCGACAGACAAGCGAACTGATGCCACCATGTAATGGCGGTCCAATGACGCACGTGACACGTGTGGCATGGCACTGACAATTCAAAATCGACTCGCTGACAGGCGAATGACGCTGGCAGGCTGCAAAAAGGCGGACATTTCGAGGTCCTGATTCCAGTGGTCTGGTCAGGTCCCGCTCCCCCACTCCCCCCTCCCCACTACCCACATTCCGCTCCCCGCCCGCAGCACTTTGTGCATTGAATCGGCGGGGCGTGTGACAGGATTATGATATAAATCATTGCATACTTTACGGCGATCGATTTAAGGACGCCAAAACCTGTCTGTCAGCCGCGTTAGTTTGCCTTTTTATTCTTTGATAAGCTGCATAATGGAGCCGTTCCCGCCGCTGATTCAATTTTAATTATTTTGATACACATTTAACACTTGACACATAGAAGGATTATTTTTATTTTAGCTGTAGTTTGTTATTAAAAATGAGTTATTTACATAATTGTAGGTTTGATGGATCATATGTCAGTGAAAATATTATTTGTATGTATAAGCAAACATTTATGTCTGGTAAAGTGGTACCCCAAAAATCAATTTGGTTTGTTTACAATTACAAACTACACATTTGACACAAAAAATTAATATTACTCAAGTATTATTTGATATATATTATATATATATTTTTATTGTTACTGATAAAGTTGAGGTATTTTATTATCACATCAAAACGTCTGTAAATGTCTAACATGTTTTTTAAATACATGTTCAAAGGGTTTTAAAACCCTCTTAATTATAAGGTTTACTCGCATGTTCCCCTTTTGCTGGCAAAGAAAAAATTATAGACTCCCCCTAAAATAAGTATCAATGTTAATCTGGAGATAATAACCTGTTCAGTTGCCATTTTTGGTTTTTTCTTGACACTAAGTAGAGCATAAAGGTGCTGCTGGCAAGTGAGAACCCAATCACATGCAGGTCCTGCGGCGGATATTCGATGGCGAACACTGCAGGAGCTGTCGGATAATCGCCGGCTAATACAATGGCATGTCGTAGGAGGACCCCCTTTCGAAGAACCCGAACAATGCCCCCCGGAGACGGATCCCCCATTGGCAGCCACATTTCCATGGCCATTATATTCAATTATACGACAATAACGTGGCGCTTAGGGCGCTTTGGTTCACGGGAATTGAAAATAATAATAAAGCGGACTGTGGGTGGGTGATGGCTAGATGAAAAGTGCAAGCTGGTTTTTTGGTGCGGTAAAATGTAGTCCGTGGTCCGTGCACAAGGACTTGGAATGAACTATCAGCAAGAAATTATGATTAGCTTTTGGTAAAGTTTTCGACCGCAGTCAGCAGCACTTGGGAAACTGCCACCGCATACTTTGCGGCACTAATCCGCCGAACGGACAGCGGAATACGGACAACGGACAGCGGAATATGGACCACGGACAGAGGAACACGGACAACGGACAGCGGAATACGGACAACGGACAAGTGAATCGCGAATAGAGGAACCTGAGAACAAAAACCAGAATTTCTGCAAGCGCAACGTTTTAATTTGACTCTTGATTGTTATGCCATTGTTGCCTTGCATTGTGCATCTCAAACTCTGTGTGTTATCTCTTCGTGTAATCGTCACTAATGCCCCCAAAATTGTGCTAAACGATTACCATTCCGAGCCATTTCCACCCACCGATTTTGGGGCATTCGTGCACCCTTGGCTATTAAGTAAAACGAAGGGCTCAGCATTTGTAATAATATTTTAAAGCCCCAAATGGGCATGCTATTCTCCTGACTTATCGCCGGATTATGAATGAATTTCGGGGGGCAGTCATTTTTCCTGGACGCCGTGATTTGCATTTGCACGCAGCATTTGTTAAATGTATCGTCATGTATGTCATTTCACTTAATTATGCCATTTACTTTGCATACAAAGCGCCCATAAGTTTGCCTCCGCAATTTTGGGCAAAATTTGAAACTCTTGACGTTTTTCGGGGCGAACCGAACAATTTGTCACAATTATTGCTCACAAAATGACAGGCAAATGAAAGCCAAGCAGCTGGAAAACAAGCTCCGGAAAAGTCGACTCCAAGGAGGCGAACGCCCGGGCTTTTTGACAAGTTAAATGTGTTCTGGGCCTGCACAATGATGCAGCAAATGCTCGCAGGAATATTTCGATGGCAGGACGACAACAACAACGGCAGGACGAACAAGGGAACCGCCTGCAGGGTCCCTGGGTCCATCTTGTGTCTGACATTTTGTCATATTTTTTGGTTAATTTCTGAAATGCAAATCATCGATGTCCTAGCGGAGCGGAGCACGTCCTTTTTGTCGCCTTTTGTCGAGCAAATTTGCCATCAGTGTTCGTGCGGCGATGTGCTCGTTACAACTTTCCAGGGGCAAAAATATCATGGATCCGGTTTACTCTTTAATTTTGCTGTTGGCTGTTGGGCTGTTGGCTGTTCAGTTTTTCCGCACTCGGAAAACTCGACCCCTTCGATCGTCGTGTTTTCTGTGGCCTGACCGCTCATTTGTTTGCAGCTTATTCGCATAGTTGATGTTGGTTTTCCGCCTGGTTCGGGCCTCCGTTGGCCATGTTTACAAAGTTGGCATTTCCACTTCCTGCCTTTGTTTTTGGGCATCCTTTGTTATGCTTAGACCAGAATTTGTTCCTCTTATGCAGCAAAAAAAAACGGGAAAATTTTAACACTCTAATTAGGGTTGGGTGGGTTCATTCAAATGCGTACATTGAATTTCGACCCCTAATCAAATTTTCTGTTTAAATAACGAAATATTGTGTTTATAGAACTTTCTTATTTATGGAGTTGTTTAATTAAAATGCATACATTATGCTTCAATACTAATCCATATTAATAATATTATTAGTAGTTTATTATTAGTATTATATTATATTATCGTATCACTTTAACATAACAGTTACCAAAACAATAATGTAAAATTTATAGTATAATTTATTTATAAATTTATAGTATAAATTTTATACTATATATTATAACTAATAATATGATTAATTAATGAATATTTTGATATATCAAAATTTCTTAACAGTTTATGTAGATTCGTACTTGTTTTTACTTTTATTTGATATCCTTTTTGGTTCGGGCAAATAACAAATAAAGTTATGGTATTAACATATAAAGTAAACCTTTTTTTTGTCATTGGATAAAGAAACGTATATTGATTTAAAAAATTTCTGATCATATCGTAAAGTCAGTTTTTATACGAGATGGAGAGCTTTTTGAAAGCTCGGACCGGTTCTCTCGCAACTGCGCATGCGCGGCCGTCTCAATGCAATTTCCACAGAGCAGAGCGAAAGCGGTAAAACCAACGGAGACTTGAGGGCGTTAAAACTGATTCCCGATCCGATCCGATCGCACAGTTAAGTCCGAGAGGTAAACGCGTGCGCACCTCGAACTTGGTGAGTCCGGGGTATTTCTTCGAGTGTAACGTGGCTGTGGATACAGCAATGCCGCAATTGCGAGCCAAGTGAACCAAAATGGCCAGCGGACCGCTCTTGAAATGCCTGTTTTAAAGTGCCGGAAAGCATATTAATTTGCAATATTAAAATAATCTATCTGTCCGTGCAGGTTTATGTCGGCTAACGAAATGGCGTTTGTGAAAATTTGCATATTTGCTTTGGCTTTGGCCGTGGGTAAGTGTGGAAAAAGCTCTTAATTGCATTTGCCAATTAATGATACGTCAATACCGCTGGCGTGCTGCCCTGCACAAACTCTATTTGAATAATGTGTTCTGACTTTAATGCTCTCCTGCCTTGCATCGCATATGAATACAATCGCCTCTAATTGTCCACCATACCCAAACAAACAAACAAATAAACCAACATCAGCAAACCAACAGCGAAAACTAACGAACAAACCGAACAAAATAGCGACAAACAACGAACGATATGCAAATGTTGTCGTTCCTGCGTGAAGCAAACTAAGCTGAAAAATATGGTTGTTAACATTATTTGCGACCATGTTTATGCATATCTGCAATGTTTGCAGTCCTGGCCCTCTCATCATGTCAACTGTTGTCCGATTTCGATGGCACCAAACACGTGTAAACTGTGTATACTATATATATAGCATATATAGTATAGCATACATATCCATTCATCGTGGGCATTGTCGCACTTGTTGTTGGTCGATTTGCATGGCTTTGGTTTTGGGGTTTCGTGTTGCTACTGACCAGGAATTACAATTGCCACTGCAATTGCAATTGAGAATTCGGCAATTTAATTTTCTGGCAAATTTTCTGCTCATTTATTGTGTGAAAGCTCATTAAAAATTTGTTTGTCTCCTCCGCTGTTCCAATATGCAAGGCATTAAAATTTCATATTGTTAACTCGCCGGAATAAAACATAAATTGATATGCAAGCAACTGTTGCACGCGAGTGCCAAAGCCAAATTTGGTAATTATATTAAAAAAGGCCATGAAAAATACGAATATACGAATGTGGGCACTGCAGCCGGCTCTTAATTAAATGTATTGCAATTGGGGGCCGCAGGGTACACAAACATAAATGGCATAAATTAAATTGTCAGTTAATTGAGGGAAAACTCTCCGGATGCCAAGCACGTTGAGACAATGGAAAAGTTTTAATTTGATTGCAAACATGTTTGGGCGTAAAGTTTATAATTTATTTGCGCCGTCATGTTGACACTTTCTAGACGACAACGACAACGACAACGACACCTTTTCCCTCCCAGAACTTTCGGCCAAATTTAACGTATCGAGTCGCTTCTATTGTCAATCTCGCATCAGTTCAATGAATGACATGAAAAAGTGCTTCAATCTGTTTATTTTTAATCCATTTAATGTTCATTGAACTCAACACGCACGCTGCACGCACTTTTCCCAAGATGACAGGCCGACACCCACGACGTGTGTGACTGGAATCGAAAATCCAAAAACCGAAACGGGGCACGAAAATAAAAAAAAGTATAAAAGTTTGAGCCTAAACTCTGCGGCATAGGCAGTCAATTAATCTCGTTTAACCGGACTGGGAACCAAGTCAAACCATCCAGGACCGGGTTCAACCGGCCCCGTTGACAACGACCGACTTCGACGGCGACGGCGACTTTTATTTCGATTCCGTGGAAAACTTGTTGACAGACTGTCAGAGCCACCGAGTCGCAGACTCGAGGCCCCAACTCAAAACCCCAACTTTACGGCCCAAACCGCATAGGCCACGCTTCGCTTGGCTCGCTCGGCTGGCTGCCAAAAAGAGGAGGCCCATAAAAATGAAAGGACAACACTTATTCGCGGCTGGCCGATGGGAAAATGCCCTTGAGGGAACACATTTTCAGAAGGGCTATTCTGAGAAAAATTAAAAAGAGGGAAAACAGCAAATTTTATTTAACCAAGTAATTATATTTTCAATTCAAGCAGTTAATCTTCAAGTAAATCTTAAAAGATATAATAAAATTTATAAGGTGTAGTTTTTTAGGAAAGAAAAATACATAAAGAACTTTAAATATACAAGACTGTTCTGTTATTTCTCAAAATAAAAATTCTTTTTATTTTTAATTGTTTTGAAATTTAAAAGAAACTTAAGTACATATGTACATACAATTACCTGCTTAAAAATGTTAGTTTTTCCTTAATTATTCTCTGGATGCTGTTACGAACAATAAATAACATATAAAAGGAAAAAATAAAACTTTCTTTATTATCGAATTGTAATTTGTAATAAAAGTATTATTAAATTTACATAAGAAACTACATAAGGACTATTTACTATAACTAAATGGACAGTTTTAATTTAGTACCAAAAGAGGATTTTACAAACTCATTTAGTAATTTAATTTGGAATTCTAAAGCTGAATATTGATTAATTTCTTTCCTTTCCCTTTATTTTTGTTTGCATTGAACCCGTTTTTATTGAACCCCTTTGCAAGTGTATTTACCAACCGAACTATGAAGCTTTAGCTACTTTTTCTTTTCAAGCTTCTTGTTTGTGTTGTGTTATTTTTTCGCCAGGTCCCGGGCGTGTACGAAACATGTTTCAATGACAAGCGACAGCTGCAACAGCAGTAGCAGCACCAACAGCAACACCAACAGCAACACCAACAGCAACACCAACAGCAACACCAACAGCAACACCAACAGCAACACCAAAAGCAAAACAGCAACAGCAACAACCAGCGACAACGACAACGACAACGACAACTTGTTGTTGGTGCAGTCGCTGTAGTTGTTGCTGGCTTAAATGTTGCCTGACACTTCACGCACTAATTGCTCTGTGGAATTGTTTCTTTATTAACGTTTAATCGAATGTCAGCCGGTCGACGTCAGCATCAGCAACTTGCTGCCATTGTTGTTGTTCACTGCGGCTGCAAAGCGAAAATTGAAATCGTCTTTTCTTGTTTCTCCGCTCGTTTGGTTTTACTGAATGTTTTTTCTTTATTTTTACTGAATTTTTTGCAATGCCTGATTGGAGTGGTTTACCTTGAAGAGAGCTTCGTGTTCGTTACTGGATGCATTTGCCGTTCCACGTTGCCAGTTGCCCGTTGTTTCGGCCATAAGTTGTTGCAAGTTGTCGGAAGTGCGTGGCAATGTCTCGGTTTTCCGCTGATTGCAACATTTCAAGGCTGAACCTCGGCCACAGCTGATGCGGCTTTAATCAGCTGTTTATGGGCGCAGCCCTACGGGTTTGTAATCTTTAAGATACTTTCACTTTTAAGGTCGCTCGACCGCCTGGCCTGTGTCGCAATCAAGTGGCAGAGCTAAGCGCTAACTCATATACATGTTTATTAAGTCGCCGCAAACGGGTTTCTCGCAAACAAAGTGGAAATGTTGGGCAAAAAACAAAAGGCAAAAACGTGCAAGATACACATAGAAAAATTGAACGAAATTATTTAAAGAAAGGGTTAATTTTTTTCTTTGAAAAAATGTGTTTCGCTAAGGATTTTTGCAGTTATAATTATAAAAGGATTTAAAAAGGTTTAGAGTTTATGGTGAACTAATCAAGTAACAACATTTCTTCCTTTTAATCTAATAATAAGCATTAATATACATATCTGTTGCTAAAACAAATAAAGAAGATATATTATTACTTCAACAAGATTAGCAACCTTAATCTTTCACTGAAATAAACCAAACAAAAAGACCCGAAATGTAGGTATATAATTTCTGACAAGCTTAGCCAAGTGTTTACATTTCTGACAAATGAACAAGAGAATACTTGTTAAATTCGTGAGTTTACATTCGATTAGGCTTAGTATTCATTTGAGTGTTTGTTAAATGCCAACATGAATTTAATTATTTAGTTATTTGATCTCTGCAAAGCTTAAAATTTTTTTAAACTAATGTTATGATTTTTTTACTTAATTAACAAAGGATTTGCTTAAATACAACACATAAAAAGACTACATAAATGCTGACTTTAAACTTTGATTTATACTAGATTAGATTAAATAAAAGTAATTTGCAATACCCAATTTAAAGCAGCTTAATCAAGCATACACTTCAGTTCAGATGAAAACATTTTAAACTTAATTTAATTGTAGCAACTGTCAAGTCTACAACATTCAGATTTATAATTTGATTTATATTAGTTTTGATAAAAGCTATTTGCCACAGTTGCCGTCAACAAGTGAAGTTTAATTGATTTTTAATTTGTGTTGCGACTCCATTTTATTGCAGAGTTGTGATCATAAGCATTTGCATTGTGTTTTAGTTATTACGGGCAATAAGTAATGATAATAAAATAAATTAATTAGCCCCATTAAAATTAATGCTAATGACGACACTTTTGCTTTTATTATGAACTAAAAAAACGTATAAAAGTATGTAGGTATTTATATTATATATTTATATTTCATTTCACGTCAGTTATTTTTCTTTATCGCAATAATAAAATGGCCAGAAATGTAATCTAACTGAACACATAATCATTAAAATTCTTTCTGTGTAATCACTTTGTTCTACTGATTGTTTGATTTTAATCCCATCACCATCCTACAATCTGTATCTTGCAGGTTTGACCGCAACACTTGCCCAGGAGCCTCGCGGTGGCTTCCGGGGCAGCAACAGCCAGTTCCGCGTGGGTCCCGGCCATCCACCCTCCCAAAGGCACCTGCCCCCTCGAAGCCGCGATCCCGTCCAGGAGGCATCGATTGTGCCCAAGAACAAGCAGACCGCCAAGGAGAAGGAGTACGAGCCCACCGAGGAGTGCCCCGAGCCCAATGGCTTCTATCCGGACAGCAAGCAGTGCGACAAGTACTACGCCTGCCTGTAAGTGAAAACCCAAGAAAGCGACGACCACAGGGCGTATGCGTAATATCGTTTGCCATTTGGCATTCCAACCACTTTGCAGGGACGGTGTGCCCACGGAGCGCCTTTGTGCCGATGGCATGGTCTTCAACGACTACACTCCCATCGAGGAGAAGTGCGATCTGCCCTACAACATTGACTGCATGAAGCGAACGGCGCTACGTGAGTATATATCCTGGCTATATCTACTTAATTTGTAAGTTCCGCGTTACGTATGCGCCGCGTGTTAGCCGGGAAAATCTTTAGCCACCCACACACCGTATTTAAACCACCTCCTCCTGCTGCCAACTTCTTTTGGTTTAAACGAAGGAGCTGGAAAAAAAAAATAAAAACTGGCCCATAAACGCGCTGCGTGCCCGCACTTATTTGCTCGTTACTTCTTGGCTGCGCTTTTTTTTTTTGGTTTTTTGTTAACTTATTTATTATGCAAACGGCATGCGAGGCGGTTAACCCAAATTGTTGTCGTCAATAGGTCTTCGGTCTTTGGTCTTTCAGGCAGTGCTTTGTTTTTATTTTTGGCACATTTTTACTTATTCTTCGCCTGCTTCTTTTTGCTGTTTCTTTGGCCCCTCCAGTAGACTTGTTTTATTCGTGATTTTATTGTTTCCCCCTAACAGTGGCGGTGGTCCCCATCGAAATTTTAAGCCCTGGCATCAGCAATTGGCTTCCCGCAGCTTTAAACTTGCCGGGAATTCGCTTTCTCTGACATGTGCCACGTGTGGGAGTAGCATCCTTCAAACTTTCCGACAGAACACTTTATTAAAGTTTTTCTCCCCTCCATCGCCACATCGTCCTTGACTGAAAATGTTCGCAACGAAAACGGTTTTAAGCTCGTCCTTTAAGAAATTAATTTCACTTAAAAAAGCCTGGCCATTTGTATGATTTTGCCGCATAAAATATTACTACACGTTTTAGTTTTTAAATAAATTATTTGCCACCCATCAAGGCAATTAGTACACATTGTGCAGGCCCATTAGCAATTTCAATTACCTTTGTCTCCTGTTGACATATGACGTTGTGTTGCCATGCCATATATGCACACTATATATATAGCATATATATGCACCTGAATAAATGTGTGCCCAAGAACATTGTGCTGGCTGGCTGGCTGGCCAGTAATGTATTTACGAAAGTGCAAAAAGGTTCTCTTTTTTGCGGCCAAGTAAAGGTACACAGCAAATTCAAAGATGCAAAGAGGGAATATTATTTTTCAAGCGAGTCTTTGTGATTTTGTAATTATTTCTTCCCAGAAACGCCACAACCTTCTCTTCATTGTCCAAGGAAGAATGGTTACTTCGGTCACGAGAAGCCCGGAATCTGCGACAAGTTTTACTTCTGTGTGGATGGCCAGTTCAACATGATCACCTGTCCAGCTGGTCTGGTCTTCAATCCCAAGACGGGCATCTGTGGTTGGCCAGATCAGGTTGGCGTCACCGGTTGCAAGTCGGAGGACGTCTTCGATTTCGAGTGCCCCAAGGTGAACGAGAGCATTGCGGTGACCCATCCACGGTACGCCGATCCAGATGATTGCCAGTTCTTCTACGTCTGCGTCAATGGAGATCTTCCGAGGAGGAATGGCTGCAAGTTGGGTCAGGTCTTCGACGAGGAGAAGGAAACCTGCGACTGGGCGCGCAAGGTGCCCGATTGGTAAGAAATTATATTATATCATTTTAAAACAATGCCTTGGTATATAAAATGCTTCTTAAATAATTCACTTTAGGTCATTTAAAAATGAAAAAAAGAGTAAAGAGAGTTCAGTAGTTCTTAATATATATATTATAATCAATGCAAACTGAAATTAGTTAGTTAGAAAGGCTTTTAAATAATTTATTAACTGTTAATAATTTTTGTATTTAACTAAAATGTACCTATAGTCAAAATAATACTGTAAAGATGTGTATTATATTTACCAGTTTATGCCATCAAAAAAACAAACCCATTTGCTAATTTAATTAGATAAAATCAACAGTGAATAAGTTTTAACGCATTTTAATCAGCAAAAATTGTTGAAGCTTAACATTGCTATATAATTTGGAAATTTAAACGTATTTAAAAGCACTATTTATTATTTCAATTTAATACTTTTACAGTGCTGACTGGTACAAGGGCCGCCTGACCGACAAGGAGCTGGATGAGCTGGAGAACCCGAAGCCGAAGACCACGACCACCAAGAAGCCACCTCGTGTGCGCGGCCAGTCGCGGAGGAAGCCCCAGCCCAAGCGAGTGGATCCGGAGGAGGAGAAGGAGGAGGAGGTGGCCTGATCCCTGACTGTATTAGTCTTAAGTGAATCCCACTGATTGTCACCATTAAAAGCGTGCAGGAGGTCTAAATATTGATCGCTTAACTCGAGCCCTGGAGCTCCCTGCTCCACTGCTGATGGGCGGGCAATCCGCGGATGCCAGGGGAATTAGCTCCTTGCTCCCCAACAAAAAAAACGAAAAAGAAGCAAAACCCCCTGCGAATGTAATATGCATGGGAATTTGTGTGAGGAGCAGTTGATGTGGTGCCAAAACGACAGGATTTTATGCGCATCCAGTGTGCACAATCCGTGCACTCTGTCCCCCATTTGTTCCCCCAATCCCACTCTCTTCTTCTTCCCCCCGCATCCCTGTGACAGGATGAAATCAATGCTCGTCCTGCCCAAGTTCTTCCCATTGCCTGCAGCGCATAAATTCAATTTGCCGATGAGCGTGCACAAAAGTATGCAACAAAATGGCAACAACTCGATACAGATACGCACACATTCACACTAACACTCACACACACACACACTGGCAAACAAGGATATTGGGTGTTGAAGGAGGAGGAGGGGATTTTTATCCGAGGGGAGGGGCAACATGTGTATGACGTTTGGCAGACAAGAAGCATTCGATAAAACGCATTGAAATTGCATTGTGGAAATTGTGAGCAGTTGAATGGCGAGATTTACAGTGGCCACTGCCAATGGAGGGAATGAGTGCTGGCAGAACCGAAGGGGAAAAACTCCGAGGGGCGGAAAGGCGGGGAAAATGCCGTTAAGGGCATCAATTCTTATTGTTTAAGTACTGACGTAAAATCTGAGCAGAACGATGACATTTCTAGTTGGCATTGCTCGAACGTTTGCTTAAATTTATTTATTCATTCGATTGGGGTTGCTATAAATGGATTTTTCATCTAACATGGTAACAGAATAATGAAATGGTGTGTCTGGTGTTCGGATTCCCAAGGGAAAGGTTAATTGGAAAGCCTTAGGCAGTTAGGGATAGGGAGTCAAGTTATGATTCGTCTTATTTTAGTATAAATATTTTGAAGATCAATTTATTTTTTTGCATTTAATTTTTTGAATGTCAGAGACATTGAATGAAATAGTCATTCAATTTAAAGAACTTTTTCTAATGTTTTAGTATTGAGAGTACCTAAAATGGAATCGTGTTTACAAATGTAGTACTTGGGAAGATTATCATAATTCCCAATTCTAGTTCAAGTTCTTAAAGATCTGTGGGGCCGTCCATAAACCTCGTGACGCTCCTAGGGGGGTGGGGGGTTCTTCAGAGAGTCACGCTTTGTTGTAAGGAGGTTGTAATTTGTATATAGGATGGGTCACATAGGGGGGGAAGGGGTCAAAAAGCAAAAAAAATTAGCGTCACGAGGTTTATGGACGGCCCCTGTCTGTAGAAGTCAAAGAGGTTCTTCCATAAATATATGTACGTTTTAAGTCTAAGATTCTAAGATTCTCTGTGTGACTTTACCTTAATCAAGTCTGAAGAATGAAGCCCAACATAAAGGCTATGTGTGTCTGCTTTCGATGGATTCCGATCCAATTCCTTGAGGTATTCGCACTTGGTTCGTCTGCGAGGAATCTGCTGCCTGACATTCTCGATGGCTGGCCTGCTATTTCGGTGTTAATTAGCCACAGCTACGGGTCATCTAACCTCGACTTATGGCGGCGGCCAAAGGACACGAGCAGCTGCGTCTAATTAATCAACCAACACATGCGCGCACAAGGAC